CTCAACCGAAAAAGAGGGACTGCATATAAATGCGGCTAAACCCTCACCCCTCACCGATAAATTTTCATCGGATTAAATGATAAATTCGAAGAAGCACCGGGAATGGTGAGGGGGAGGTACGAAATAAGCATTCCTCGGTGCACAGTTTCACTGCTCAAGATGCCCTCGAGCTATCGAAACTGTCGGAGTCGTTACCGTGTACCGATTTAGTCTGATCTTCCGTGGGGCCATTGGAATTCGATTAGAACACTTCCCTATTGAGGAGTTTCTTCAATCCAATTGGTAAATTCCATTCAGCTATTATCTGTGAAACAGAATTGAGGGAGAAGCGGCTATTTTTGACTTGGATACCTTCAACGAGGTTAAAGCAATCCTCACCTCTCATCTATCAATTTATTCCAATTTAATTAATGATTAAGTGGTAAAACCATCTGAGGATTTACTAATTATGCTGTTACGATAAAACGATAAAACGATTCATCCGGAATTCTACTATATTTATAAAAAATATCACGAAACCTTTCTCTCACTTCAAATCGATGGCGCCAATATTAAAGTTTAATTATTTCTCACGAGGACTCGACTTTTGTTTTGATTTCACTTCAACTGATATCGTATCTTCGTCGGAAATTTGTGGAATTTCGTGATTGAACCTTCCAATTTAATGATAAAAAAGATTTGATTTTTTTACCCCTGGCGTTCACGAGTCCTTGACTCGAAGTTGAACGACTTATTTTCGCCACTGAATCCAAGATATTGATTTCCCAACCGGAGAAGTAGAAAAGGCTCAATCCAATGGTGACATTGTACCCCCGACGATCCCCCGCCCAAAAAACTTGTGTGAAAAGTCAATTATAAAAACTTTGACGAAGACAGGATCGTGCCTGCATCTCAAACTTTATTCTCCCAGGTCGTGCTACATCAGGGAAAACCTCATTAATCCCATAAAACTTGGGGTGAGTACCGTAGGCCAGTACTGAGTGTGAATTTACAGCAATAACCTAGGTTCAAAGGAAAACTGATCCAACTATAATGGATTTTCCATTTTACATCGCGAGGTAGTGAAGACACTGGAGGGAAATCCGAGTTATTACGAGCCTTCTCAAGAGCCATATGAAATTTTGCATCGCCCAAGTAAAACATGTCCTTTATACCGCGCACGGATCTCCGAGTGTTCGCGGAAAATGACAAATTTGTGATAAAAAGAATTGCAGAACTATCCGAGAAGGCAGACGTTTGATCCCGCAGTGTAGAAAGATATTTTTCCGGGTTGGGGGATGTGAAAAAGAGGACTGATTCGAAAGATAGTCTTTCTGATGGATCACCAGGAGATGCCTAAGCCTCGTCTACTCTAGAAAAGATTGAGGGGGTTGAAAGAGCGAGAAAAAAAATCTACGACCGCGTGCTGGGTGTATCATAAAAGCTTTACGGGTCTGTAAAAATCCAGAGAGTTGCGTGTGTTTCTGCTGTGGAGGGATACGCCGGTAAATGAAATAGTGATACGGGGCCACATTGTGTCGGTCATGAGTCTTCTCTTGGCTTTTGTATTTTACGTATGGCTTTCTCCCCCAGGAAGCACCAGGGCACAGTGGTGAAAAAGAATATATTCTAGTGCAGTGTCTCCCTTCGTGATGAATTTTTTACCTCCTCATGTCACTGTACATCCAAATGTCGCCCTCAATGGGCTCGAAAAATTCAGCTCACTCTATTTTTTATGAATACTGCGACTATAATTCACCGAATTTTCTTTCCCTCATTACAACAGAAATTAAAATCTCATGATAATGAATAAATTATTCAGACTTTCTCGAGAAAAATCAATGAGATCAAGGAATTTTTTTCGATGTACCCCCACCCGAAAGGAATGCAATATTTTTCGATTGCAGAGGGCAATGGAATTCGCATTCTACCGTCAGACGATTGCCTTGAGGAGCGATTATGACAGACGCATTCACCGTCGCGACGGACACCTCATCGTGGGAATAAACCAGCGTGACCCACTGGGATGAATATAATTTCCCCTGTGTACCATTTATCGTTGCCCTCTATATATACCTATATCATCAAAGTTACTCGAGCTTGAGGGTAAATGATGCCCCTCGGACACCTCGCACTCATCTCTAAGATAATTTCCAACTCAGGGTCTTTTCCCCACTGTCTGTCCCGGAATTCTGATGCACTTGTGCATTCAAAACGAGTGACTATCCAATCGAGCTTGAATTTTCTTGGGATTATGCAATCACTTGGGGGCTGATGAGGTGATCACCGTCTGATTTATCTCGCTCGATCAATTTCATTTGACGGTTTAACGGTAAACAGTGACAACTACTGGGTAATGGTGAATGTTGAGTACATACAAATCCGTCATTATCCTTTTGCCAATGGGTCTATGAGGAAGCGAATGTGCCACTGGCAGACGACGATGTTTGTCGCTGTTTCTAGCTTAAACCCCTGGTGCCGTTGATTGATTGCACCTGACTCCGTAATTACGCGAACGATTACCAACTCACACAGGCACAACAGGCAGTAACATCCAATTCCATTTCAACTGGTATATCTTCGGGTAATACTGGGGGACAAGAACGCGGATCAGGTGGATTATCCCGAGACATCGACGGGAAATTCATTTTTTTTTTTATGTCGTCAAAGGGGAGTGCCACCGATACACTGACACGTACGTTCAGAAAAATTAATTTCCCAATAGTGAAAATTTTTGAGAAAACTCGGGAGGTCGGGGGGCCTTTTCTCGGGGCCTTTTCTCGCAGGGGAAACGTCTTTCGTTAACGGGATGTGATCCGTGAAGGAATGAATGATTCGTTGATCACTTTCGCTTGGGAATTTTTAATTCGGGAAAATCTTTCGTTCGAGAATTTTATTTTTCCACGCGAATCTTATTCTCATAACGCAGGTTGCCGATTCGTAATAAATGCTTTTTTTTATCTGATTAATTAAAATTGGTAGTGGATTAATTTTTTTTTATTTTCGTGGAGATGATTATCTTGAGGGACGTGTCGGATATTGCGCATCTTGACACTTGGTAACTCCCCAACTCCGTAACTACTCATCTATGTAATATCTATACACTACCAATGCCATATCCGTAACGCACCATTAATCGATGCATCGACTAATTGTCGTCTAATGGAACTGATGATCGAGAGTAATATCGTGTCATCGCTACAGTCCAGGGAGTTTCTGCAAATATATTTGCCCTACTGTCTCGCACAATTAATTGAAATGACAATATCAATTTATTTATTACGTTTAAATTCAAGTCCGGAATATTTCGGTTAACTCTATTTACGCAACAATTTTTAACATTAATTTTTTTAATAAAATCATTTTCGGAAAGTTTTAGCCCGCGGAGGAAAAGCCATCTCAACTTTTAATCATTCAATTAAATTCGTTAAATCTAATTAATTAAAATTACTCAAGCCCGCAGCAAGTTATGGAATGAAAAATAAATATCAATTATAACGAAAAAATGTTTAAATTATGTTTCTTATAGCGTGACAAATTGCCTAACCCCTCATTTATTCAATAACCATCAAATTTTTTCGCGTACCCACGTACCCACGTGCCCCCGTCTCGCAATTAATTGAAAAATTACACTGTCCTCAGGGAGTAAGTCCCTCGTGTTTTTTTTTCTCACACAATAAACGTAATATTAGCATACTCCAGTGTCAAAGTGACTCCATAAACCTTATCCATCACCGAGTGTGCATTACAAAGTTTTACCAGCCCCTGGCACATGGTGCACCTCGGCAACACACCCATTTTACCGTAATACATTCACGATGCGTTTTCCAGTGAGTAAAAGTGCCGAGTACCTGACAAAATGACGGGGTTAACCCAATCTGAAAGTCAGTCGTGCCGGGAGCGTTAATTATACGATGCAATTATCGTTCCAGTACTATTTACGGAGATAACGCACGAAGGAGGGAGGGGGGACAAGAGGATGAGTGGAGAAATTCGTAAGAGGGGTATAACGGATGGTTGCATCCGTTGGGTACACCGAGGGGGTTTGCGAGGGGGATAGGCAAAAAGGTAAAGTGAGAGAGGGAAATGCGTGGGTATACAAAGACACCTCTAGTTGTTCCTCGTAGCCACCTATTTGGTACGACAAACTCCATTATACGGGCAAACAAGGGAAGGGGGCCACGGTGGGTGGTTCTATAATGAAGGTATACGTTGTTGCATCGCAACACATCTCACCGACCGATGAGAATGCACGCGTCGCATGCAGCCCTGAGGTATGCCTCTGGCATAAATGGGGGTAAAGCTTGCCAAACAACTGCGGAGGACCCGAGTTACCCCCCCCCCCAAACCTCGCGTACCACCCGGCCCTCTTACCCCCTCTGTTAGTGTATTAATGGGTGCATTAGAAAATAAGGCGCATGGTACGCCCAAAACACGGGTATTTCACTTGACATTATTAATTATCTCTACCGGAGGTACTGACGACTCAATCACGAAAGCTTCTGGGTATCAGTATTTTTTTATTATTCGTCCCATTTTTTTTTCTTTGCATCGATATTATCATTTTTTTAGTCTTCATTCTTTATTCTGATTGCGCGAAATCGAAATTTTTATTTTTATTTTTTTAAATTAAAATAAAGTATTTTGGGGACAGGTGAATTATTTTTATTGGTAATTGTGAATTTCATTGTCGATGGAGGAAAACTATGAAATATGATGGTAAATTTACTGGATATTTTTCGCTGTTATTTATGGCGAAGTGATTAAACGAAAATTGAGGTACATCATCTCGATATAGTGCGACCCAGTAAAATAGAAAATAAATCACCAGATTTAATAATTCCAGTAAAAAAGTGATTAAAAGCCCTGACCGCAGGAAAACCACAATTTTTATCTCCGGTAATATAGTCTTAACGTCTCACAAGCCATAACCCAATCCCCGAATAGCGATATTCCCAAAGAATGTCAGAATGAAGGATCAGAGAGAACTTTTCTCATCAAGTTCCTTTGATTTGTTGCAGGGCATCATGAAAGAGAATTCTTCAAAAACGATACGTATGAGCGGACACAGGATAAGGCATTTGTGGTGAGCATCTAGTCATACTCCTTTTGTGGAGATAATTCCTGAAGAAAACCCCCCGAGTGGCTTCTCATTTACGATAGTGGAATTCGGTGAAGTGGAAAAGCTGTCTCTGTGGCCAGAGGAAACCAATGACGTTGAAGGATATTGGGTTCATCAAGAGTTACCAGGAAGCTGGGTTGGGTACATCTTCCCGGTGTCATCGTGATTATTGACGTATCGTGTTAAATATCAGAAGGGAATTGAGCTGGGTATAAGAAGCACTTGCTGTGCTGAAGCTTGTGCTGTGAAAATGATCCTGAGGTACACGATATATTGAGAGGAATAATCCAAGGTTGCATTGACAATGGCGATAGAAATTCCGAGGAACATGATGATATTGTCGGCATGGTTGGGATTATTCATCGTATCCCTGCCCTCTGTCTACCCCCAGATGCCATGGACTCCGATATTCATTGGAAAAGACAGTGAGTATCGAAAATATTCTCCGACATGAATAAACATTTCAAATAATTCTCAATTAGACCCCACAACGACTAGCCCCACTCAGTTCACTCCCTCCCATCCCTTAATAATCGATACCCATTACGATAAATCCATCAGATCCCCCCCCCCCCCGGATTTATTAATTTCAGCTACTTCCGAGTGAGGAGAACTGGGGAGACCTGGGGCTCAACAAATATCGTGTGACAGAGTTCAATAATTCCAAACGAAATCCATATTTTCATAATACAGAAACCCTTGATAGCTGATATCAATTCAGAACGTGCTCCAGCACTCGGTTGATAACTCATTTCGATCTTGAACAGTGAAAAATTTGGCCCCTCGTCAGAAGGTAAATCCCGGGTATTGCTTTTTCGTCGATATACAGCGAACGGGGGAAATTGCTCGATTGTTCATACGGTATTAATTTTCAGACCGGTGTCTGATCCGCGAGGAGCGAAACAACCTGGCAAATAGCAGACAACCGATTTAAAATTCAGTGCACGCTGTGTCGACACTTTCCAGCGCACCTCCAGTACATTCCCCATTCCCTGTAGGATAGAGAAAAAAAAGAAAAAAAGAAGAAAAGCCCCGGGCACTATGTAAAATTGAAAATTATTTTGTTCTATTCCTCCTAATCCAACCGCCCACCGCCTCATGACGATGCATATCGTGTTTGTATTTTTATTTATCTCCCTGGAGATGAACGTAACTAGAATTCAAGGTGCTTGAACTCCTCCCCGATGCCGCTCTATGAATAAAATTCGATCCACGTACAGAGCGGATCGAAAAGTAATCACACTACCCCGTCCAGTCATCTCTCCAACCCCTATTCTACTGATACATCTGGACCCTTTTATTTATTTTTTTTTTCATTGATAAACGCACCCCATCCAGCTTTTATGAGTGTCTCGGGGGTGCCTCGGCGATGAGCTGAATCAATCCCAAACGTGTGCCAAGTAACTCAATTTCCGGTTGGGCATATCCCCCGGTCAACACAACCCGGGGGCACTTCTTCAGGGATAAGGAGTCAGTGGTTGACTTGTGTCCCAGAAGTTTGTTACTGTGTGTGTTACACTTGTTTTGAGGAAGAGGACGACCAAAGATTGACCCGGCAAACCTGCCAAGTGAGGAGCCCGAGAAATTGCATTTCCCGTTGCTTCTCCTGGTACTTTTCTATTTCCGATATAATATCGCTCCTGGAGGATGCTTGCCCATTGAGAAGAGGTCAATTCGAGGGATCATTGTCTTTTCTCTACATTCTTTATATTGACATCTCAATTTTTCGTTTCAAGGGAAAAATTGGCTTTAATAATCCTCGCGAGTTCTGTGATCCTATGAGAATAATCAAATTGACACGTGTAATGAGCGTGCGGGAAATTCGGAAGTCCTGGATTACACGAGTACACAGGCTTGTTAATTCGGTCTCACATGCGTTGCACTGATTTCCGGATGGGACAGTGGAAGCCACAACCTCGCTATTTGCTAGAACTGTACTTAGTGTTTAAGGTGGTCACCGGGAGTTTACTGTCATCAGGGGCAGACCGGATCTCAATTAACACGAGTCAACCCTCGGGCACGAATCAATGGACTGCAATCCATCCCGATAACTTTTAAGAGCCGTTGATTCATGGCTGGCACGAACCACCCGGCTAATCTATTTCGACGATAATTTAACGTGGATTCTAATGAATCATCGTCTGGTCTAGGTGATTCAGCAAATTTTCGAGGGGTTTGGGGCTGCCAGGTAACTACAGTATTACGGATCGATAGATATTGCACGCCATTATACTATTATACTTAAACCCCACCCTGGTGATTCAATTATTTTTGGAATCAACTTTGTTATTCATTGTGAAATATTTTTTATAGTCGAATCAAATGTAAAAATTTTTCGTGAAACAATGGCTATTTTTTTGGAATCTTTTTCCCCCACCCTTTAGTATTTCTTGTGTAGTTTAGTATTTTAAGGTGAGACAAGTTTTCGTACGATGTGATACATGCGAGTTAGGAAAACGTTGCAGAGCAATCTCCACCTGAGCCCGGTGTACACAACCCCCCGGTCGTTGAGGTGTTCAGGTGGTGCTCGGTAACCGAGTGTGGAAGTATGAAAGTTTCGATGGTGGAAACTGTAATCCTGTTTCCAAAATGCTGTACAAAGTAAAGGATGGCAGGGGCTGTTCTGCGTTGCATTATCTATGTGTCTTTGACCACTGACTACTCGTACACTGCGGTTCGGCAATTTGCCTTTGCCAGGGTGGAGCTTTTCCATGGGCTTTAACTTGCTGAGGTTATGGGGGGACACCATGGCCGGAGGTGGGAGAATATATGGAATTGTAACGAATGGCAGGACTTAAACTCGGGGGAAATAATTATTCAGAAAGCTCTCGGTGATGTCGTTTCAATTGCTCTCAGTAACAGGAATATCTAGTCCGGTGACTAATTATTTTCAGAATATTTATTCCAGATTAAGTTATTAATATATTTATCATTTTTGATGGAATATTATTCGTACGTCTCAATTAGCTCGGGGAATTGATACCGATCCGGGTAAAAAAGTTGTAATCGGAATATTTTTTCCAAATTTCCAAAAAATTTCTGGAAAACTTTTCGAAAAATTTTTCTTTTGAAACAAAAAAAAAATGGGAAACAAAACATATTTTTCTATGCAAATTTTTGAAAAATTTTTCAAAACCTATCCCAAAAATAAAATTGTCTTGTTTTACGTTTACCAGAAATTTTTTGAAAATTTGGAAAAAATATTCCGATTACAATTTTTTTTAACCCGGAGATTAAAATTTTAATTGACACTTTGAATTAGAGAATTTGATAAAGGATCGTTAAAAGGTGATAGTCGTTTAATTGAGAATGAAAAATGATAAGAGAATTCTCCGCGGCTTTAGGGAAAACGTGATGAACACAAATGGCATACAAAATTACAGTTGATGATTTCTCTCTAGTTTATGACTTTCCATTTCAATAGAACGAAGAGTCGGGGTGAAGAGAAATTGGAGAACAGAGGAAGGATAAATTAATGTACTAGATTTTAGAGTATGCCGTTATGCAGTATGAGGGAGTCGAGGATAATGCGGTGCACACGCGGCGCTTAGAGATTAGCGTATACCCGGTAATTTACCACGTGACTTGTACCAGTCCTTCGGCGGATCCCATTACCATATAGTAATTACCGTAACTTCATTATCCCTCTCTGACACAGATAACCGACTACCACCCCCGAAAATTCCATTGACTCTTGTCAACGTGCTCACTCTTTAGGAACGATAACTAGAAATTTTCGTCATGACATGACGCGCCTGTTCTGCTGTGATAGGTCACTCACTACCGAAAGCAAAATAAATAGGAGAATAAACGACATTATTAACATTTTTTCACAATCTCAGTCCTAATGAGCAAAACTGTAATTACCCCGAGAAAAATGGAAAAATGTGAATCAAATAAAAATTTTTATCCAATCCGCGAAAAAAACATTCAAATTGAAGGAAATTCTTCTAGTGTGAGAATTGTATTTTGATAATAATTATTTAATGTAAATAAAAACAATTCTTTCGAAGGATTGAATTAAACAATATACAAATAATGAAGCTGTGACTCATTTATTAAATGATTAATTTGATACCGGGAATCCGGGCTTAATAAAAGTTAAATGCCAATGGAGTGAAAGACCTACAAAATTCATTTCGCAATTCCGATATGAAGTGGACAACAGTGGGGGCAGGATAAACGATAGAGAGGGCGAAAAAAAAAAAATAAAATAAGTGAACAGAAAAAGGAGAGGATAGTGAAAATGGTTGGAGATTGTGACCCTATCTGCTGCGATTTTCATTATCCCCATCCTTTCCATTCTCCTCTTTTACAAGCTCCACTCGCGCCATATTGTCTTTACGGCATCTTATTCATTATCTCTTTCAGGGGACGTACCGGCTGGTGCAACCCCCTAGTTCCCTATTTTTTTATTCATTTTTGTTTTATTTCACTGCTATTTTGCCCCAACAAGCGGAAATTAACAAGAGATTCCCTGGGATTCAACTAACTGCTTTCCGCGTATTGTTGATTCTTTATATTCATTATTTCTACGGAGTTTCTGAATTCATAATTATGAATATATATTTTATTTCCACGCTTGTCTTTTTTTTACATAATAACGAAAGTTTTCGCAATTTTTTATAGACTCAAAGAGTAGCTGAACTTTTTCATTCGTTATCTGTTAAAGTAAAAATCAGGGTAAAAACCAAAATGATAAATTATGGAATAGTCAATCAATCATAAAGGTGAAGTAATAATGAATGAATAATGAGGAATATTGGACAGTCTCTGTGAAATTGAAATTATCGATTGCATTGAATTTTGAAACAAGAAGTCGTTGCGTTAATGTCTCCATTGATTTTCACCCTAATTGTTCTCTCTGACCCATGTAATGTCAAGGGTTTACCGAGTTACATGTATGTATAATATACGAGTGAACACCGGGGCTGGGTTTACCAACGCGATAAGACAGCGTTAACACTCCTGAGGCTCCATAATTCACAAAATTTAATCCCAATTTCACTTGCACACTGAAAGAACATTTCACCTGATGAAAATCCCTCAATTCCCGAAACCCACGATACCAACATTTTTTTTAAAACATTTTCCGACTCGTTAAAGCCAAAATACGAATTGATAGAGCCCCAGGGATTTTTCTAGATAATGATAAAATGGAAAAATTTGCCAATTGAACAGAGAAATTAATAGGTAATAGAGGAAAACGTGTGAAGCACAGTGCCACCTCCAATGAGGCCATAAATTTAAATTCAAAAAGTTGATGGTTCACTGTAGCTCAACGTGGAAAATTGTTTTCTCGGCTTGAATCTGGCATTGAGCCGTGGTAAATAGGTCAAACAGTAAACTTTTGTCTACTCCCACCGAATAAACGAGAAGAGTCATTATTCCACTCTAGCTCATACCAGAGATAACATTTTGTTTC